CTTACATAAGTCGAATGCAATCTCTTGACCATCATGAAGTGCTTTGTAAAGTTTCATTAAACTGAACTCAGAGTCTTTGTCATATGTTCCAACAGGTATGTGAATGTTCTTATCTTCATTGTAATAGCATTGTATAGCTTCAGGAAACATTTCATTAGCGGTTAAAGCAATAACATCTTGCTTCACGCCTTTCATTCTGCAGTGAAATGCAACTTCATTTAAATCGTTAGTGAGTAAGTCTATGTAGGTCTTCTTTCCACAGAAAATACTTTTATAAGCTAAACTTTGTTTTCCAGGTGTTATTTCTGCAAAAGTCCTATGAAATTGACCAAGGTTCTTTCCTATAAGTTCGCGACCATATCTCTTCTTAAACTCTGCTGCAAGCTTGGGATGTCTTCATTATATAAGTGCATACTGTCGGTATCCTGGTAAAAGATTTGAAGTCCCATGTCCTCTGCAGTACAGAATACTTCATTCATAATACGTTTTGACATAGACAGAATATTAACACCAAGTGGACAGAAGTTAAAGTGTCTGCAAATGCTTTTCGTTAGCTTGAAAATAGTTTTATCTGAACCATCCAAACCTTCGAACTTCACTATATGGTTGTAATTTCTTATAGCATATCTTATAGCATCTTTTGTCATTTACTATGGTTATTTTTGACTCAATAGGAGATAGAATAGTTTTGCCATAAATGCTGTTCAGAATGAGTTTTATAATTTCTTGTAAGGGGTTTTCTTCTTTCTTATACTTTAACCTTACTCAAACAACTTCTTTACTTCATCTCTTATTCTCATATCTCTGTTTCCATCGTAATAGTATCCTTGCAACACTTCACATTTGACACCTTGATATTTTATGAGGTCTTGTAATGTTATATGGTCAACATACATGAGACAGCAAGTGTTTGAACTTCTTGGAACGTTAAGTTCTGGATTTAGTTCAGGGTCGCAAAACTATTAAATGAAAGTGTCTGGGTATACCAATTCTGTTATCTTAATGAGAACAAAGAAGCCAGACATAAACTTTTCACCAATGGGTTCCTTTTGGTCATCATCGAATAAATGTCTCATGAGATACTCTGTGCTTAACATCTCATCCTTCAATACTTTTGGAATACCTTCTAAAGTATAAAGTCTTGCTATAGCTGAAGGATATAATGAAACAGTGTCGAAGTCAGCAATGAGTTTCTTTTTGCTCTTTTGTTTCATGTTATCTGCAACATACATCTTCCACCTTGAATGCATCTCGAAATAAATTCTCTTGGTTTATTTGAGAGGTCATAAAGATTTCCATTCGGGAAGTATACTCTGTTCTCAAACAATTTGTTAGCAATAGAACAAATACTAACGTAGTCATAAACGTTTAAATCAAACTCTTTCAATAAGTCATTGCGGAACTTTACAAAACCTTCTCTTAAAATTCTTACATCTTGTTTGCAGTAAAACGTGCTATATTTTTCTAAGTCGAAGTGGTTTTCATCTATTCTGCAACCTTTGATGGAATCTATGTTTTTCATGAATGTATCTGCATCATGGATAAACTTACATGCTTCAGAAATGACACCAGTTCTGTTGTCATTGCTAACAAAACACTGCTGTAGTAGTTTATGGAAATACTTCTTTCGGTCCTGTTTGTAAGTTAAACATAGCAGGAAATAGTTTAAGCTTCTTATTTATAACACTGTAAGAGTCTTTTATAATAATTGCCCGTCCTTTATATAAACCAGTTATTTGCATTGTTCGTGAACCTTTAATGATGGGAGTTCCTTTCACTTCTGTCATGTGTCTTAAGATGAAGTTTATGTCATAACTGAGGTTATGGAAATATATTAAACTCTTGTCAGGAAGTCTTTCCAAAAATTCTGTTGCACAGTTTTGACCCCAAATGCTTTCACTAACTGAACCATCTTCACTGTCATAACAGATGTTAAAAGCTTTATGAAAGCCATCCGTACTACACTCAAAGTCAGCAAAGAAAACGTGCTCAGGTATGAATTTACATTTAGCTTTATTTACTTCTTTTGACTCTGCTTTCTTCTTCAGTTGTACACAATACTTTGGAGCATATGTCAAATCTTTAAATGGTGCAAGGTTCTGTTTATATAAGTCAGTAGTATATGTGAAAGTTCTCCATAAGAAATAGGTTCGAAATATTTGCACTCCCACAATGTTTTCATAACATCCCATAACGGTGTTGTTCTATCATAACGAACTACATTTTATCTTCTCTCTTTGTATAAATCTTCATCTGTTTCTCAATGTTCATTTCCACCACAAGCTTTGAGAATTTCTTTATAGTTTCGAATGAAATATGTTGTCATTGGAAGTCTTTCATTTAGCATGTAGTGGTCTTCAACAAGAAGTAAGTCAATAGTTCTAACAGTTTCGCATTCTTTTGGTATATATCTCTTTATTTCATTATGTCTTGAGTCATTGAAATAACCAATGGTAACATTAAATGCTATACCTGTTGCGTCAGAAATTTCTTGTACTTTACTTTGAGGAAAGTCTCTAACACGAATGACTTCTCTCATGTGGTCAATAGTTTCTTCATTTACTCCAGCCTGAATGCAAGCATAAACGAAACAATTGTCCTCTGTCATAAGTGTTGCAGTTCTTTTGTTCAGTTCATTGAAGATTTGGTAGCGTTCAAGATTTATAGGTAATGTGCAAAGATACTTCCAGAACTGACCGCTTCTCTTCTTATAAAACTTCTTTTCACCATTATCTTTCCAAAAGCTTTCTATAAGTGCTGGGTTTCCTGTTTGCTTAAGAGCTTCCAAAATGGCTTTCTGGTCATTTGTCAGTGTGCTTTCATCTCTATATGGTCTCTTTTTTGGTTTGCCTTTCTTTACATCTGACATCGTTAAGCCTTCATATTCTGTTAAATCATACATCTTTATTTCGGTAAGATTCTTTATGTTTGTCAAGAAGAAGTCATAGTGCATTTCAACAATACCTGCAGCATTTGCTTCTATCTCTGATATAAAGTTCTCCTTCAAGAGCTGATGTAGTAATGTTCCAATATTATTGAGGTTTAACGTAGAACATTCATACTTTCCACCAAGTTTATAACATACCATCCATCTCTGTTGGAGTTTATTTTAATTTTCTCTAAGAGTCTCATGAAAACCTTACCGAAATGTTTGTGTAAGTAGTCTCTGTTTGGTTCATCTAAAGCTTCGATGTTAAAGTCAATGAGTCTATTGCCTGACTTCACATTCTCTTCCTATTCTCTTCATCTTTCTTTAACCATCTCTCACCTTCTTTTGGTTTGTCGTCAATGGAACGAATGACATATTAGCTTTGCGAACTTGTTCTATAGCGCTCTTAAACATCTCTCTTCTCTGTTGTTTCAGTGTGTCGTCTCTTCTTCTTGTTTCACCAACGTTTGCATTTGTTATGTCAAACATTCTCTTCTTACTTCATGTGGTACAGCTCTTGTTCACCAACGTTTGCATTTGTTATGTCAAACATTTCTCTTCTTACTTCATGAGGTATTGAACGTCTATGATATAAGTCAATAGCAACGTCATTTAAAGGAAATGCTCTTGCATGGACTTCGTCCTCGCCGCGTTGCGGCTTTATGAACTCATGAATTCTATCATAAGTTATTTCACCATTATAGTCATTGAGGATGTCAGCGAGTGCCTTTTTGTTTGTTGTGTAATGCTTTGCAACATCTATATTAGCTTCTGTAAGAAGTTGTTTTATTTCCGAGTGTTCTAACTTAGACAACTTCCGATACATCTTTAGTAGGAAATAAAAAAATATTTTTTGAAAAAATTAGATTAGATTTTTTTAAGTTATTTTTCAAAATAATTTAATATTTTTATTTTAATGAAACACATGCAAGATTGCAAGTTCTTTTCATACAATGCTCTCGCTACTGCCATCAAGAATGAGTTCAATGGTGCTTCAAACGTTAATGTTATCTTTAACAAGAAGTTTGTGAAAGAATCTAAGTTTGGTCAGTATGTCAGACCATTAGCTATCGTCATTGACCGCAAACGTTATACTTCACAAGAGTTAGCAGTAGTTTTGAAACAAAAGGTTTCTTCGTGAATGTCAAAGATACTCATTATACTATTATAAAGAACTCCAACATTGACTTCTTCAGTATTGCTATGAATCTTTCCGAACAGAAAGAATATAAGAAGGGTGAAACAAATTGTGAAATATTATTCCTTCATCTCTGAAAACAATAACGAACAAAGATGTTATACAAAAGTTCTTACCAAAGGTTGAAGAAGCTTCTATTGACATTGACGAAGGAAGTGAAATGGTTGAAGAAATTGACCCTGACGTCATTTAAGCAAAAATATATTTTTGGTTAGTCTTCATATCGATATTTTACAACAATTCCCCAATGTATAAACTTTTCATACGCTTTTTCATAAGCTTTATATACCTTCAGAAATTTTGCATAATCTTTAGAAGCATTTAGATATTGTTTAAATGCTTTGTATGTCTTCAGAAATTTTGCATAATCTTTTACATGTTGTTCGTTCTCTTCTTCTGTCATGAGTTCCGAATATTCTAAATTCATGTTCTTTCATATGAGATAAAATTTTATAAAAAAAATAAAATTAGCTTAGATTTTTTTATTCTTCCTCTTTGAAGTTATCGAAATATTCTGTTATTTTTTCCTTCAGTAATGTTAAGTCTTCTTTGAATGTAAGTATTGTGCAACCTTTGATGTCATAGTGTGTTTGAGGAAGAGTATTTTTGACAATTTCCTTTATTTGCTCATTCGGTGTCATTGAAATCGGTAAGTTTTCACGATAGAACCAGTTTCTGTCAGATTTGTAAATCTTAGCAAGGTCATAAAAGCTTTTGTTGTTTCTTCTGACTAAATGCAACATAACCATATCTCTATCTTCTTCTTTCTCCAACTCTTCAGTATATATCATATACTTATAACTCTTTTCCTTTCCTTTTGGTACCGAACGTGGTATTCTTTTCTGTATGCTTTTGTCTTTGGATTCAATGACTTCATCTTTTGCTTGAAGTTTCTTTTCCATCTCTCCACGTTCTTGTCTATGAATTTCGTCAAGAAGTCTGTAAACATGCCATGCATAACGAGGAGAAGCCCACATTGCAACTGCATTTACTAAAAGTCTATGAACATAATAACCTCTTAAATTTATTGGCAAATTTTTACGATTTTCATGTGTTTTATGCAAGACCGAAAAAAGTCGGTCTAGAGAAATTTCACTCAAAAGTTCTTGTGTGCTTTGGTTTTTGAACCAGTCGTCTGCGTGTTTAGTGTCTGGAGCAAAACATGCTGTCAAAATACTTTGCATTTGGTACATATCGTCTTTGACCGAACGAATGAGACGGAGTTGTTTGTTAAACTGAACCCACTCGTATTCTTCATTTATGGCTTCATGAACGATAGCAGTTGTTGTGTTCTCTGTTGTTGACATATCTGTCCTTACATACAAAATAAAAAAATAAATAAAAATAAAACTAACTTTATTTTTCTGTGTTAAAGAAATGTTAAAAATTCAGGGTTGCATATGTGAAAAGAAGTCACGAACAAATGAAGGTCATAAGATTCAGCACATAATTCTGAATTGAATGGTGTGTCATACATGTCAAGCCGTCAAGAATTGAAGGAGATACGGGCTATAAAGATTTTGGATATTTTCTGACACACACCCTGAGGGAAAAGTGACAAAACACGACGATAGAAAAAAGTGACAAAATTGAGAGAAAGTTGTTCCCCGACCAAAATGCAATCATGTTGAAAAGTGACATTTGTAAAGTTAGACGATAGGATTTCCTGAAAAAGTGCAAGACTTGTTCTGAATCAGGACAAGATTTGTCTTGAAAAAATACAAGACTTGTTCTGAAAAAATACAAGACTTGTCTTGAATCAGGACAAAACTTTACAAAATGTAAACTTTACATAACCGTTTCTATCGTACATGATATTTAGTTGACATTGTAAACTATCTTCATGTAAAGTATGGCGGTTTGAAACCGTCGGGAACCTTCACTTTTTGACGAACTTTCCGCAGCAATTTTTAAAATTTGTGAAAACTCAACGGTTTGACACATGCCATATGTCATTTTACTCAGAATTTTGTGCTGAATTCAGCAAAAATAATGTTTATGTTAGCATGTTAGATCTAACACGTTTTCTAACCTCTTTTCTAACATAACTATTTACAAGCGTTTTACATGGTATATGTTGCGATGGTTCATGACTTTAAACAGTTTTGTAGCTTCTATTTCTTCTTTTAGTACATCGAATGTTTTAACAATGCCGAAGGTTTCTTTATATTTCTTCTTGACGTCAGATAGAAGGAAATCTTCTACTGTTGGATAGTTTTTGTTCAGAAATGCTAACATGTCCATTTTATCTTCTGCTGGCTTTTCTGCTTCTTTCTTTAAATCTGCATAGTCGTTTCGCATTCTTTCTATCTCTTTGACGGAGTAGTTATATTTCCTCATCGCTGCCTTACATTTTGAACATTGCGGGTTCATTTTTGCGTTATACATTGAAATTTGACCTGCTAAAACAACTAAGGCGTCAATTGCTCTCTTCATCTCAAACATAGCGGGTCTTATTTGTTCGTTCCATACTTTGCCTCTTCTATCTTTATCTCTTATCTGCCATACACATTCAGCAACTAATGAAACAAAGTTATCGTAGGTCTTAAATTCTTCAGATTTATATATGTCAGAAACATTCTTATAAACCATGTCGCAATCTTTGTCCATAACTTTATGGTTGCAATGAAAACCAAGGAATTCATAATTTACTTTACGTATGAACTTCTTTATTTCTACTGAGTCAGTTGTTTTGACTTCAATTTCGTCGAATTCAGGAATAGTTAGTTTTTGTTGTTGGATTTCAGGCAATTTGGGTAAATGGTCAATAATGTCCTGCATTTCATAAAGATATTCTTCATTTTCTTCATCTTTCGCACTACAGTCTAAATTACATGTTAAAAGTTCTTGCTTTATCTTCTGGATTTCTGTTTCAAAAGTATATGAAGAAGGAATGAAGCTTTTCATCTCTACTAACATAGATGTTGGATTCATGACTAACGAGTTTGGTGCTGTAGTTTGAATTGTTGTTGTGCCGATTGTTGAAATCATATCTTTACATACAAGATAAAAATTTTTCTTAGAAAAAAATTAGCGTTATTTTTCTTTCATAAGGAAATGTCAAAAATTCATGATTTTCGAGAGTTTTAGACCATGTTAGAAAAGTGGTTAGAAAACGTGTTAGATCTAACATTCTAACATAAACATTATTTTTTGGTGTAAATAAATGGTACCATTAATGATATCATGACTGTTCTCGCAAGGTCAGCTTTTTCATAAGCTTTATATACCTTCAGAAATTTTGCATAATCTTTAGAAGCATTTAGATATTGTTTAAATGCTTTGTATGTCTTCAGAAATTTTGCATAATCTTTTACATGTTGTTCGTTCTCTTCTTCTGTCATGAGTTCCGAATATTCTAAATTCATGTTCTTTCATATGAGATAAAATTTTATAAAAAAAATAAAATTAGCTTAGATTTTTTTATTCTTCCTCTTTGAAGTTATCGAAATATTCTGTTATTTTTTCCTTCAGTAATGTTAAGTCTTCTTTGAATGTAAGTATTGTGCAACCTTTGATGTCATAGTGTGTTTGAGGAAGAGTATTTTTGACAATTTCCTTTATTTGCTCATTCGGTGTCATTGAAATCGGTAAGTTTTCACGATAGAACCAGTTTCTGTCAGATTTGTAAATCTTAGCAAGGTCATAAAAGCTTTTGTTGTTTCTTCTGACTAAATGCAACATAACCATATCTCTATCTTCTTCTTTCTCCAACTCTTCAGTATATATCATATACTTATAACTCTTTTCCTTTCCTTTTGGTACGAACGTGGTATTCTTTTCTGTATGCTTTTGTCTTTGGATTCAATGACTTCATCTTTTGCTTGAAGTTTCTTTTCCATCTCTCCACGTTCTTGTCTATGAATTTCGTCAAGAAGTCTGTAAACATGCCATGCATAACGAGGAGAAGCCCACATTGCAACTGCATTTACTAAAAGTCTATGAACATAATAACCTCTTAAATTTATTGGCAAATTTTTACGATTTTCATGTGTTTTATGCAAGACCGAAAAAAGTCGGTCTAGAGAAATTTCACTCAAAAGTTCTTGTGTGCTTTGGTTTTTGAACCAGTCGTCTGCGTGTTTAGTGTCTGGAGCAAAACATGCTGTCAAAATACTTTGCATTTGGTACATATCGTCTTTGACCGAACGAATGAGACGGAGTTGTTTGTTAAACTGAACCCACTCGTATTCTTCATTTATGGCTTCATGAACGATAGCAGTTGTTGTGTTCTCTGTTGTTGACATATCTGTCCTTACATACAAAATAAAAAAATAAATAAAAATAAAACTAACTTTATTTTTCTGTGTTAAAGAAATGTTAAAAATTCAGGGTTACATATGTGAAAAGAAGTCACGAACAAATGAAGGTCATAAGATTCAGCACATAATTCTGAATTGAATGGTGTGTCATACATGTCAAGCCGTCAAGAATTGAAGGAGATACGAGGCTATAAAGATTTTGGATATTTTCTGACACACACCCTGAGGGAAAAGTGACAAAACACGACGATAGAAAAAAGTGACAAAATTGAGAGAAAGTTGTTCCCGACCAAAATGCAATCATGTTGAAAAAGTGACATTTGTAAAGTTAGACGATAGGATTTCCTGAAAAAGTGCAAGACTTGTTCTGAATCAGGACAAGATTTGTCTTGAAAAAATACAAGACTTGTTCTGAAAAAATACAAGACTTGTCTTGAATCAGGACAAAACTTTACAAAATGTAAACTTTACATAACCGTTTCTATCGTACATGATATTTAGTTGACATTGTAAACTATCTTCATGTAAAGTATGGCGGTTTGAAACCGTCGGGAACCTTCACTTTTTTGACGAACTTTCCGCAGCAATTTTTAAAATTTGTGAAAACTCAACGGTTTGACACGTGCCATATGTCATTTTACTCAGAATTTTGTGCTGAATTCAGCAAAAATAATGTTTATGTTAGCATGTTAGATCTAACACGTTTTCTAACCTCTTTTCTAACATAACTATTTACAAGCGTTTTACATGGTATATGTTGCGATGGTTCATGACTTTAAACAGTTTTGTAGCTTCTATTTCTTCTTTTAGTACATCGAATGTTTTAACAATGCCGAAGGTTTCTTTATATTTCTTCTTGACGTCAGATAGAAGGAAATCGTCAGCAGTTGGATAATTTTTGTTCAGAAATGCTAACATGTCCATTTTATCTTCTGCTGGCTTTTCTACTTCTTTCTTTAAATCTGCATAGTCGTTTCTCATTCTTTCTATCTCTTTGACGGAGTAGTTATATTTCCTCATCGCTGCCTTACATTTTGAACATTGCGGGTTCATTTTTGCGTTATACATTGAAATTTGACCTGCTAAAACAACTAAGGCGTCAATTGCTCTCTTCATCTCAAACATAGCGGGTCTTAGTTGTTCGTTCCATACTTTGCCTCTTCTATCTTTATCTCTTATTTCCCAAACACATTCAGCAACTAATGAAACAAAGTTATCGTAGGTCTTAAATTCTTCAGATTTATATATGTCAGAAACATTCTTATAAACCATGTCGCAATCTTTGTCCATAACTTTATGGTTGCAATGAAAACCAAGGAATTCATAATTTACTTTACGTATGAACTTCTTTATTTCTACTGAGTCAGTTGTTTTGACTTCAATTTCGTCGAATTCAGGAATAGTTAGTTTTTGTTGTTGGATTTCAGGCAATTTGGGTAAATGGTCAATAATGTCCTGCATTTCATAAAGATACTGTTCATTTGTTTCATCTTTCGCACTACAGTCTAAATTACTTGTTAAAAGTTCTTGCTTTATCTTCTGGATTTTTGTTTCGAAAGTATATGAAGAAGGAATGAAGCTTTTCATCTCTACTAACATAGATGTTGGATTCATGACTAACGAGTTTGGTGCTGTAGTTTGAATTGTTGTTGTGCCGATTGTTGAAATCATATCTTTACATACAAGATAAAAATTTTTCTTAGAAAAAAATTAGCGTTATTTTTCTTTCATAAGGAAATGTCAAAAATTCATGATTTTCGAGAGTTTTAGACCATGTTAGAAAAGTGGTTAGAAAACGTGTTAGATCTAACATTCTAACATAAACATTATTTTTTGGTGTAAATAAATGGTACCATTAATGATATCATGACTGTTCTCATTCATGTCTGATTTACATCTAATGAAAAAGTTTAGAAGAATTTTCTTATTCTTTCTGGCATATTTTTGTCTTTCCAGTACTCCCGCTCTAATGGTCCCAGATGTGTTGGCTTTGACTCTCTCAAGTTCTTAGATGGTATAACATCTTCAACACCTCCTTCATATCT